TAACTTTTGATTAAGTTATTAATCGGAGCAGAGTAGCGCAATCTAGAACGCCGCCTCTCGGCGACTAGTGGCGAACGCCCAGAGGTTCCAACTGCGGTCAGAAATGCATGGAGAACGTGAGAAAATCGTTGTTTCTTCAGTATTGTGGGGATGTACGGAATGGCAATCGTTTTTGACATAGTAATGAAACATTTTAGAATAATTTTCGCTAAGTTTTGTGCCCCGCAAGGACGTGACTTTTTTAACAAAATTGCCTGAGCGGCATCATGCAGCAGACGACACGGCGACGTCACACCATTCACGTGACCCGCTCCGGCCAACCCGAAAAGCCCATCTCCGCTGCGAGCAAAAATCGTCTGCTTCAAACGCCATTGACTTGGAAATAGCCTCCTCAAAATTTGCACACGCATCCGATATTATTAAAACTTTGATAAAATGTTTAGTGCTTTACTAAATTCACGACAGACTAGTTTTGAAAAGTGTGAACTCGGCGTTCATTTTTTAATCAGCCGTGTTGAGTCGATCTCCATGTATTCTCCCATAGGGCTGGCCGCCTCCTGGAACCCTGAGTACCACGTGACTCGCGCCGATCCGCTCTGTCGGCCATGTTGTCGGCAAAACACGGAGTTCAAAGGATTGCGCTACTCTGCTCCGTAGGAGCTATATAGTGCTCTAGAGCAGACGACGCGGGAGGCTGGTGCACTTGTCGTGCTGGCCTCGCGCTTCGTAAAGTAATGTACCGAATGCAAAAGGTACCAAATGTCACAGCATCGTATTAAACAGAAAGGTATCTGCCTCCCGAAAAGTTTTGTTTGGTTCCTGGGAGGTGATTCAAGAAAGATCGCCAGAAGCATGAACCGCCAGCTGTGCGGAGGACAGGTTTAATTATTGTTTCTCTATCTTGTCGCGTGATTCAGTAATACAGCTACGCTTGCTTGTCACATTAATAGGGACTTTTCGTTGGTCAAACGCGAGAGAATTCAGGGGTTTTGCGTTGTTTGGGGGCGGTAAGAGCTGGCGCCGGTGGGGCCCGCAATCCGACAATCTACGATAAGTTCCTAATGTAATTGTTACGATGGTTCCCCATGGCTGTCTACAAACGTAACCCGAGTATGCAGTTGCCATTTTTTTTTTTTTATTTATAAAGGACTTTAAATTTGAGAACCAAGCTCACTTTGCTTTCCCGCCCATTTTGTTCCCCGATGTTTACAAGAGAAAGCGGGTTAGCGGCAACAGACTTGGGGAAAAATTAGTCAGAAAGTCGTAGCCCCTTTTGCGTTCTTACTTGAACGCGTAAATGAAAAGAAATTGACGGCTGTATTCAAGTTTTTTTTATATACTATATTATTAAAATGATGTAGTTCGCCCACAACAGGTATAATTCCTTTCCAAGGGCCTCTCAAAATTAGACTAGCTCATCCCTGGGTCGACCGATTTGAGCGTATTGGCAATGTTAGATGTTCCTAATGTAATAGCTAGGATGGCTCCCCGTGGGTATCGACAAAATAAACCAGATTATGCAATTAATATTTTTTAAACAAGTTTAAATTTGAGAACCTAGCTTACTAGCCAATTTTACATTTTAATAAATTAGTGGAGACTGGGTTGAGAAAACTAGAAACATCAACTGTGGACAAAAAGAAGTATCTCTCATACACGGTTGATATTTCTAGTTTTTTCTCCCCAGTCTTGGGCAATTCATCCGAATTGTTTATATAAACACCGGCTCGCCTGCGCTCTCTCAGTAATTTTTATCAATTTTGTTCCCTGATGCTTACGAGAGGAGGCGAGTAAGCAGCGAAAGACATGAGGGCCAATGAGGCAGATAATCATAGCCCGTATCGAGCACTGACTTGAGCGCATAGTTGAAAAGAGATTTATACTGACGGCCGTACTCCATTTATTTTGTTATATTATTAAAATGATAAAGTTAACCTAAAACAGGCATAATTACCTTCCCAGTGACTCTACAACATCAAACCCGGACATTCCTCGGTCAATCAATGAGAGTGTGTTGGCAATGTTAGATGTATAAATTGAAAGCAAAATAAAGAGGGCGAGGACAAGGCACGTCACAAAGGCCAGTAACTAAGCATTCATGACTGACATTTAAAATTAAGTAATCTTTTCTCGCAGAGAGAGAGAGAGAGAGAGAGAGAGAGAGAAGGAATATTGACGATCCTCTCCTGACACACGGACTCAAGATATTCGCGACTCCAGCAAAACGGACGCCGCCAAGCGGGGAAACCGGGAACCAGCCGGTCCAGGTCGCTCCGCGCCCCTCCGCGTCTCTGGTGGCTTTCGCAGAGACGTGTTGTCGGCGCGGTGGCGAACAATGTAATTTGACGAAGGTCCGAATATTTCTTAAGTTTGCCTGAGTGATCATTAGTGTGGTGAAGCCTCAGTAGATTGTTTTCTTCTATTACATGTTTGAAAGCCCGTTTACTCCACAGCACACGGTCGCGTGCTTTCGATTTCTTGGATGGAGAGGAATCACTGAAAAACTTTTTGATTTCTTGTCTGTCTCGAATCACATTCTAAGTGACGACTGCTTGGTAACTGATACTGGAGGGAACATCAATGTTGCAGTCAAGTGAATAGGAAGGTTCGATAGCTGCTTTTCTTGAGTTTGGTTGTGTTCGGTTAGCTTCAAGTTTGAGCCACCCACGCCGGTCGGTAGGTTGGGTATTCATCTTGGCTGCTTTTCGCCGAAAAAGCCTCTGGACCACACTGAAGGAGTTGGGCTGATTTCGCAATTACTTGATTCAGGAAAACTTGCTCGCTGCAAATGATGAATGAGGGAAATTATCTGTTTTCAAAAGGTGGGAGACAAGTCTTGCAACGTTAGATGCTGTCACGGCATTTTGACCTATCGCGCCTCCAATATTTATATTACGAGGACGTCGAAGCCAGCAGCAATATACGTCTACATTGGTCAGGTTGACCGGCCTCAAAAAAATACTAATTTTCTCCGTTCAGGATTCGAAGCAAAGTTCAATTCAGAGAGGTTCTGCGTGGATCTTCAATGAAGACTCTCTTCAGTTTGTCTCCGTGCTGCCGGCTATAGAACCATTTGGCTAAGTTTAAGCAGTATATCTCCGTCTGTCAAATATACTTTTATTCAGCAGCTCACCTAATAGCTAGTCAACTAAGCTCATATTTCAACCCCAAGGATATACTAATATCGCTTTAGTGGGACCCCCATAGTACGTAATATAATACATAACCCGCTCGTCAAAATGACTTCTCGATTGCTACTAAAACCTGAATTGAAATACGAGTATCAGCTGCTTAGTGGGGCGCCGGCGGGTTAACATGGTCCTTGGCTCAAGAAGCGGTTGCTTAATTTTCGTAATTTTCCTGCAGCCTGTGTTGTTGGCCGAGCAGACGACTGGAGCTGTTTCGTAAACGCGGATACGCACAAAAGCTCGATTTCGCGGACAGATAAGTCGCATGGTCGAGGCATGCGAGTTAGCTGAAAAGTTACTCTCTGTGGAACAATTCTATAGTCATCGCCACTTTCCTTAGATGATCAAAACTGATTAGTATATTACCATCTCTCCGGAGCCCATAGTTTCGGTTTTGAACGAAATCTCCGAAACGAAAGTTTGACACGAAAATAACAAAAAAACACCGGCAAAACAAAACCATGCTTTGCAAGTTTATCTGCACCGGCTACACTAAACCGTCTCAGTTCAAATACCTATAAAATTGGGCATTAAACAAAAGAAAATCTGTTAAATTGAACGCGCCACCTGTTCAGGCGGCCCGGCCCAGCCGCCGCGACCTGGACTCAGCCGCCATGTTTGTTTGGTGGTGGCGCCCCCTATAGGTCGCTGGAGTCGCGAATATCAAGTTTCATTTTACCCAAACAGCAAAAAAAAAAAACAAAAAAAAAGAATGTGACGCAAAATTTTTTTATTTGTTGTGAACCGGAACAGTGTTCAAAATTATCATTCTGTTGTCACATAAAAATAAGTTAATAAAAGGGGACGCTTTACAACGGAAATGCAAGTCGACTGGAGATCCCACTTTTCACTAATAAAATTAAAAGTGGGTTACTGACGCAATTACGTACATGAACTGCGATTCTACCGCTTTGACGGCAGCGACAGAGGCGCGCAAACACAGCAAGGTGTTGCGGCGCGAAGTAATATATATATATTTTTGTTGGACCCGCTCAAAATAAAAACAGAGGCCTTATTGACATACCGTTTCGGTTTGTTATTAGAACTTGACCCTGTGTTGCGATCAGGCTGTACATGCCTCGTAATTAACTTCATCCGAATGAATTAGAACAGGCGCGGCATGCTTCCATCAGCCAGTAACTCCGAGAACTGACCTGAGTTCAAGGTGTGTATGAGACAGCGCAGCTGCGCGCGACAAGACAATTTAAACAATATTGCATCCTCATCTTTGTCCGAATTGCCCGGACTTTGAAGAGCTAGCAAAACCGTAAAGAAAAAGAGCATTTATCTCAAGTCGGATGTTACAGTCGACGCTGTCTTGCACTTGCGAGACACACTTCGCAAACGACAAATATTCCTATGTCTGGATTATTTGTTCCACCCCGGAGACCTGACGCACAGGCAACCTTTCTTTGTCGAGGTTCGCCTCCCTAAAAAAAAATCAGTTTTTTTAACGGACAGAAAGCTTCAACGCGGTGTCCGCCATTGCAACTGGCAGCGCGATGAGACGAGCGAACGGCATGGCCTCCGAGATCCCGAAGCGTTCGCGCGCTTCGGGATCTCGGAGGCCATGCGAACGGCTAAGTAGGGCGAATTTGGGCCACGGCGCGGCGCCACTGGTATCGCTCCAGCGCGCCCCCTGGCCCAGCCGAACGGTCAGCAACCGAAAATATTAAAATCACTAAAAAAACCAAAAAAACAAAACTTGAAAATAGAACTACATTTGTGCAGAGGATACTTTTAAACGCAAACTTTACCATTTAGTTTGTTTTATCCAACCGGCCAATATAGGCCGAAGCCTAGCCAGCCTAGCGGCCGAGCTGAACCAATTTAAATGTACTTGTTTACTTTGTTTCTTGGCTTTCTTGCACTCGCTTTGCCGGTTTTGCGGTTAGCAAAGGGAGTCCAGTGATAAACTGCTTGCATACCTCTGATAAGCTGTAGGGCTCGAACTCTTCGCACTTGTCCGCTGCCGTCCTTTGAACCAGCTCGCAATGCCTACCTTTACGATCAGCACCAACATTCCGGCCAGCAAAGTTCCCGATGACTTTCTGCAGACAACTGCCGAACTCGTCGCACGTTCACTGGGAAAGCCACTCTCGGTAAGATGTCCTCGGTGAACGTTGGCTCACTCGTTTTCGTGCTTTCTATTATTTTCTGTGCATCGCACGAAGCGCTCATTCCGGCCACAAGAAGGGCAGGACGTCTCCCTCGTAATAAGACCAGCCTCCGGCACGGGCTTGGTGCCTTCCGTCGTGCTTTGGCTGCTCGTGCATGTTCGAAATTCACGAGCTGCTGAAGTCAAGTGGAAGTGGGGAAGCTCACGCTGGAGGCGGGACAACTGCCGTTGTGTCTTAGCGTGATCCGGTTCAAAATGCGTCCAATCAAACGTTGGTATAGCACCATACGCTTGTCAAACGAAACTACCCCAACGCTACGGATCTTGTGGGAGAGTATTTAGTCAAGCCACGTAAAACCGAAACCATCAGCAAATTGATCATTGTCTAGGGTGTGAATACATGTGTGCTGTTACGAGGCAGGGCCAGATTACATGCAATGTAAGGAATGTAAACCTCCACCTTGTACTACAACGGATACGTCCTTCGCACCCTGAAGCCGTTCGCCATGGCCGCACCTAATGTTCAGTGTTGCCCTTTTTTTTTTTTTTTTTTTTTGCGCGCCGTTAAATTGAGACCAGGAAGTCGCTAAACAGTCGCTAGATTCGCCAGGAAGTCGCTAAAATATTCGCTGAATTTCAAAACCTTATTAAACCCTGTTAAAGTAAGTGAACCTTGAATAATCATATCTCAGGTATTTTGAGAGGTTAAACTTACACTGAAAAACAACTAGGGCGGTTTTTATTTGTAATACTATTTGTAATGTCTCTTAACCTTTTTGATTGTCGTTTAAGACTGATTTTCATCTGGTGATTGCAACTTTTTTCCAGAGCCGCACTTAGACATGTCAAGGCTCTACTTCTCTTTACGAGTTTAGAGTGAACACTTTCAAACAAAACAAGGCTTTTCTTAGTGCGCGGACAATACTGCCAATGGACATGTTCTTCAGAAAAAAGGATCAAAATGTCTAAAAACTGAATGCACAGTTATTCACAGGCACTTCCCAGGTAAAATTAAGTCCACCTTACACCTCCCTAAACAGTTTGACAATCTTCTCAACGTTTGGCGGAGAGCACGTGGGTACGTGGGGCAGGAGAGATGGTCTGCAGTTGACAGTGTTGACATTTTTTTAAGCGCGCCGCTAAATTGAGCATATATTCAAAGAAAACTCGGCTAGAGAAGCAAAAGGGTTTAGCCCGCGAGCATCTCTAAAATTGTTCAAAATGACAAGATTACGGTTGAACACCAAAGTTGCCAAAAAAGTTGCTAGCCGCAAAATAAAAAAAATCCGTCGCTAAATGCATAAAAAATCGCTAAATCTAGCGACAAAATCGCTAAAATGGCAACACTGATAATGTTGCAGTGGAGCCAAAGTCGCCGTAAAAATGTGGGGAATGAAGGCATGGATAGAAGTGGATGACGCAAATATTTTCAAATCCTATTAATTCCATTCTCAAGGTCCGATGCAAAGCGCTTGACTAATTGAATGGGAGATATGCCCTGTTGCAGGTTAAGAAAAGCAGGACAAGCTGCCCCCGTAAAGCCCTCCTCGCATTATCTCGCCTCCTTTCCCTCATTCCCTCTGCTAAGTGAAAAGAGGGGAGGGCTTCATAGGAGGAGCCTGTCCTGTTTTTCTCAATTTGCAACAGGGTATACATAAGCTAGTTTCTCTAATCCATTCCTTGATACCATTATCAAGTACCTCACGACATTGACCCATTTCTATGATTCAATGCCCCATGAGGGTTGACTCGTCAAACGCAGACTCTCCTGCCCCAGCTATGTCTTCACGTTGCCTTCAAAAAGAAGTTGTAATAAATGTGTGCACTGGTCAATGACATGCAACACATTCTTTGTTGATAAAGTCTAGGTTAAAACGAATCACCTAGTCTCCAAGCTTTAACCTTTTTTATCCGGTAGATTAATAGGCTACCTAGATGCAACCGGGCCAGAAAAAACTAGCTCTAAGCACATCTCCAACATGAATCTATTAATATGTTTTCATTCTGTTTCGTATGCATCTATTTTTTAGTGTTCACGTACATTATTTTCTATTTTAAAACTTGAAGCGGTCATAAAAAGAAAATGTATTTGTCGGATTTTAATTTTCTTCTATTCATTAATCCAGAAAGACATTGACCTCTGCCAGATTTTAATTTTCTTATATTCATTAATCCAGAAAGACATTGATTCCTAAGTATTACGGTGAAATATTGCATCTGAATTTTATACACAAACTCAACTCTGTTACATCACGCCGCGGTAGTGGCGCGTCGGACGCACTTCCGGTCTGGGACGGTGGGTGGAAGTCACCGTATGAGACATGCATTCCTGCATTCTTTTGGAAGAAACCAGACAAAAAATCTGGCTTCTTGTCAAAACGCTGCGACGGGGGCTGTGCCAGAAGAGTCGGGAAAGGTTTGAAGGTCAGTTTCAATGTGTTCCCTGCCTGCTCGGATCGACCGAGCATGTGGATAGCGGCCATGAAAAGGGCAAACTAAAAGTTGTTGAACTACAGTTGCTTTTGCTGGCAACACTTTGGGTTGAATTCACAGATATATGTGGTCGCCAGATGTATTTGTTTTGTTCCAACATGAACGAGGGAAAACCGCCAAGTTGTCCGGACCAACCCACGGGTTCAGTGGGTTTTCAAATTCAAACGGCCACCTGATTGTTCGAACTGTTTTCTGCTCTTTCAAACTTGTCTGCTCTTTGTCGTCTGCTCGTTCAAACAAAAGCGGCCCATTGACCAAACTTTGACCCGGTGATTGCGATAAGAAGTAATTGCAGGCCTCAAAGGACTTTTAAATATGTTTGGTGTAAACAGTAGATACAAGATGTTGATCATTGGTACCAGTGGCCATCACTGACTTGTTATGCCGGATTGACTTGGTCTGTTCCCGCTTCCGATTTTCAGTATCGACATTGATCATCGCCGCTACCGTCTACACTTTTACAGCATGAGCGACGTCACAACCAAAAATAGCTAGGAGAATCTCATCATGGCTTTGGCGTCCATTGTGCTGCATTCATGCAAATGAATCGCCGCATGTCAAACTATTTACGCAAAGTTTCGCGGCGTAACGGGCCTTGATAATTTCGCTCAGGCGACTAAAGGGGTAAGACATTGCTATGAGGACGTAGAATTGACAATTCCAACTCGAAAAAGAGTATGCAGACTCTCACAGATGCCGACAATGTGCCATTCCAATGGTGTGTTGATGCGGGACGGGGTGCTTCTTGCCCACACACCATTGCACATGCGTTCAAACTGTTGTCTGCTCTTTCAAACGTGTCTGCTTTTTTGTCGTCTGCTCGTTCAGACGACAGCCAAACGTTCAGACGACAACCAAACGTAAGCCAAACGTTGACCCGGTAATTGCCATAAGAAGTAAGTGCAGGCCTCAAAATACTTTTAAGTTTGAAGGTTAGTTGGGTTAAGTAGGCTCGGTGTAAACAGCAGATACAAGGAGATGTTAATCGTTGTCACCAATAGCCATCACTGACTTGTAATGTCCGATTCCACTTGCGATTTTCAGTATCGACATTCACCATAGCTACCGTCCACGCTTTCGCAGCCTGAACAGCGTCGTGACTGAGGATAAAGAGCAGAATCTCATCGTGGGAGTTAGGCTTTAGCGCCCATTGCGGGGTCCACATGAAATCAATCGCCGCACGTCGCATTATTCACGCGAAGTTTTGCAGTGAATCGAGCCTTGTTAATTTTGCTGAAGCCACTCAAGTAGTTGGACATTGTTAGGAGGACGTAGAATCAACAATTCTAACGCGAAAAAGAGCACGGGGACTCACATCGATGCCAACAACATTGCATTTGAATGGTTTGTTTATGGGCGACGGTGAGCTTCTTGCCCACCCTCCGTCGCGCATGCGCGGCACCGGTGGCGTCCGCTAGGGGCGCTCCGGTTTGTTTGTAAACATGAGTTGGTGTGTAAACCATGTTTAAAAATCATGTTTTTTGGACAGTGTAACGACCGTGCTGCAAAAAAACGTCATGGTAGCTGTTTGTAAACATGAGTTGGTGCGTAAACCATGTTTAAAAATCATGTTTTTTGGACTGTGTAATGACCGTGCTATACCCTACGGGAGCATGTGCAAAAAAACGTCATGGTAGCTATATAAAAAGGTTGAACAGATAATTCAACTTAATTTAATCTGCAAATAATAAAATGGATATGATAAAAACATAGTTAATTATTGGAGTCCTTGTATTAGTTGGACTCCACTGCATCACGTAATTGGGATGCGGTTTCGGTTTCAAACATATCCGGGTCTTCTGTCATTCAGCAACCGTTGTAACAATGCCGCTTGTCCTGCCAAAGCTTGAAATCGTCGTGGAATGTGGTTGTAGAACCTCATTATGGATTAGAATTATATTAAATATAAAATGAAGCACTAAAAGTTATCATCCCAAGAGGATTTGAATTTTGAACTTCGCGAAGTTAGTAGCGCGCACATGACCCCTCGACACATCAGCACATTTGTTCTGGGCCGTTTATTTTCGCAGGTATTGTCCTAGAACATAGTTTCCATGACTGGCCTTATGGTTGTGAGTTTTCTATTTTTTCCTTAACCACAATCTTCCTCAGAAGGAACTAGACATATCGCTCCTCAAGTATACGGAGGCAGTTTCTTTTGTTTATATTTCCAGCCTTCCCATCTTTGTTCTGCAAGTGGATCAGCAATTTTCTGGTCGAAGCAAGAATGTATTCACGGCTTGTCATTTGACAATCATATTGAGATGCTAATCCAAGTTGCAGACACGCCGTCTCCGGAGGCGTCCAACTTCCCTCCCTGGTTTTCATGCGTGCCACCAGATGGCGTCATGGTTGTCCAGACCTGCAAAAACTATGCAGGGAGTGGACCGTTCGGCAACTGCAGCCAAGCTTTGAACGTGCTAAACGGAATGTGACTGTTAAACATAGCTCTTGAAGCGGCGGTGGTTATTCCTGATGTTATATAAGGCTATAAATCGTTCCAAAGAAGGGCTTCTGACTGGTGTCATTTTTGGCTTTTTTTGCATGTGGCACGTGCTTTCTTTGTATGTAAAGTGATAAACGCGCACGTGCTGGGTTGTTGAGATTGTGCACTGGGCTCTGGAATTGTAAACGTTGGACTATGACACAGCAAGCCCTCGGTTTCAAGTTCACTAAAGGCATGCAAAGCACGCTGAATCGATCACGAAGGATGGGATGCTGAAGTCCTGTTGTGGCGACAATATGCTATGTGCTTATTAGGTACACCCCGATTCCACAGCAGGCAAAACTCTTCTCTCGTTTGCACAAACAAGTCTAAAAGAAAGTAGAAAAAAAATGACACATTATTGGCATACTTTTTATGATATGATAGTATATGTCAGGGGTCGCGAGACTGACCTGACCTAAGAGCTGCAAACAAAACCACAAAACTTCCAAGAGCTGCTGAGAGGGGGGGGGGGGGGGGGTCGCTAAATTTTTGTCCAGAGTAATAAACGAAACTCGAACTAATTTCAATCTATCCAAGTCAAAAGCAATCCAAGTGTACGTAAGGTAGCAGTAGCACCAAAACTATCGAACCGCAACCTCTCTTTCAATTTAAAACACGTTCCATTTTGGCCACCCAGGGGTGGCCAAAATGCGGCTTGCGAGCCGCAGCTTGGCCACCCCTGGGTGGAGTGCAACATTTTTTATCAATTCATTAAGCCCAAATGTCTACTAAAACTCCAATAAAGTTGACCTGGTAACAAGACTCATTGAACATTGGTTCCGGTTTCAAAACACAGTGAGGCAGAGCATGGGAGAGCTTCCATCTATGGACTTTGTTCATTGAACAGAAAACAAATTTGTTAACACAATGCAGAAAGTAAACACCCTTTACTTTAATTACAGGCTACATTTGACTAACAAAACGTAATGGTGCACTATGCTTGCACTTCAAGGTGAAGTAAAACTGAATGTGTTAAAAATAGTATTCACCAAGTCACTGTACCCCGAGCATTCCTCTGCAACATGGTGCCGTTTGCTGGAAAGTGGGCAGCGGTACTCCGCGGGTTATTTTCTTTTCTTCGCATTCTTCGTCAGGTAGCAGGGGTAGCCCAGAAACTTTGTTAGCACTGCGTCTTTTGCCGGAGCAGCTTTCCATTGGGCACTCACGATAATGTGGACCTTGTAGACGGCTTTCCACAATTTACTCGCAAACCTTGACTCAAAATGGCTCTTGCAGACTAAGTCTGGCAGCTGCAGCAGGTGGTCTTTGCGTGGGATCGCGTCACGTTATACCTTTAAGTGGTCCTCTTTGGGAGTAGTGAAAAGGGACAGTTTTTCCGTTCATGTGTTGTATCTCACGTTGCACAGTGGCACGAAGCACTTCTTCCCATTGGTGGGAATTTATGGAAGCTCGAGCCAACTAGAAACAAAAGGATAACTGCAGAAAACTATGCAGCACTGCAGCCCAGCGCACGCTATCGCCTGCTGCAGCTCAGGAAAGAATGGTTTTGGCGTTGGTGCCGTGCTCTGGTGGCAGGAGAGAGAACTGTGGGCTGATCTTCGCCACGGCGGCTCTTTGGCGGAGGCGCAGCGTTGTGTCAACTAAAGTATTTCTATCGCCGTGTTCCAGGGTTTCTAAAAGTATGCAAACTGGTAGCTTGCATGCCCTGCTTCAATATAAATAGGCTAAATGTTTGATATATAAACCGACAGTAAATGCCAACAAAGAAACGAGTAGGGAAGGATTAGCAAAACATTGTGGCATGTTTGATCTGCAGAGGGAGCCCACATGTCAGTTGCAACTGAGAGCTCTCCAAGATCACAGGGATGCCTGCGTTGAGAAAGATCAATAATAATAATAATAATAATAATAATAATAATAATAATAATAATAATAATAATAATAATAATAATAATAATAATAATAATAATCAATCAATCAATCAATCAATCAATGTTTTTAGTGAAGTGCCCAGGAACAACCTTGCGGTCTTAGTACAGGTGCACTCGGGAAACATGGAAATCAACACTACACACGACAAAGAAACAGTAAACAATAAAACACTTAAAAAAGATCACATATATCACATAAACTCGCTATAGTCGGTTACAAGTCAAGAAGGTAGGAGAAGCTCCTCCCACAAGTGTGATGCGCCCTTTTCAAATCTCTCCGCAGTCGAAAGAAGAGTTCACTGGAAACGCTCCTTGTTCCGCTTCAATGGATTCCCACTTGTCTCCGATCCCACTTTTTACGAAAGCGACCTTTGTATTCATCGGAGAGGGAACCGAGCCCCTGAAAGCAGCCTTTGTATCCATCGGGGGGGAAGCTAATCCCCGAAAGTTGTATTTGTTTCCGTCGGTGGGGGAGAACTCTAATCTCCCTCTCGTGGCTTCCACAATGCTAAGTCAAAGTCGAAAGATAAAGCAAATATGTACAGAAAGGCGAGACCCTTCACGCGCGTTGTCCGCGACGTCACGGAAACGGTGGGACGCTATTGGATGCAAAGGTGGCGGAGGGATATCTGATTCCCTTTGAGGGGCATTTGCCGCTACCTTCTTAACCTGTAACTGGCTATAGGCTATACCACCACGATAGCGAAAGGAAAGGAAAGCGAGAGTATAAAAATTGGTTCTAAGGAACTTAATCAGGTGCAAAAAAAAAAAAAAAAATGGGAAGTCAAATTTAGGTGAGGAACTTCAGCGCTCTGATGAACTCCGGTGTGTTATTGTTAAATATATCAATAGAGTCTGTAAAAGAGGAATTGTAGGTGTGCCCAATTCTCGACACGGGGTCGTGAAGATTAGTTACGGGAGCATTGTAGAAGGATGCATTTTGCCTTGTAGTTTTTACGGGAATTTTCAAACGCACATTTGATATCAATGATGTGCAGTCAGTGATGCCATGAATAAGTTTGTACAGAAATAGGATGTCGGCATGTTCTCTCCTACGCCGCAGGGTGGGCAATGCCAAGCTATGTTGGACTGGGACTGCTGGATCATCGTTTGAGGTGGACGCATTGCGCGACGGGAAACGATGTCTGTAGATACATAAGAACTTATTCTGAACACGTTCGATTCTAGCCGAGGTTGTCGCGCAGATTCCATTCCATACAACAGAGGCATACTCGACGTGTGGTCGACATAAAGCACTGTACAGTGTGACAAAAGTACTAGGGTTATTAAACTCTTTAGTAATGCGGCACGTGATACCAAGCGTACGTAAAGCTGAGCTCACAATATGGTCAACATGACTCGAAAAGCGTAATGTATTATCAAATACAACTCCAAGGTCTTTGATTTCATTCACACGTGTCAAAAGAACTGACTGAATGTCATAAGAGAATATAATATTATGTGTCTTTCGAGTGTAGGACATGACTTTAGTTTTCGAACTATTTAGTTTTAGGGCATTCTGATTGCACCAGTTTTCGAATGCATATACATCATTTTGTAGCAGAACACAGTCGCGTTCGTCTCGTACCTCTATAAACATCTTAATGTCATCTGCATATTGTAGAAAGGAAGAGTGACGGATCACAGCCGAAACATCATTCACAAAAACTGAAAACGGAACAAATAATAATAATAATAATAATAAACTTTATTTTTTCCGGTGCCCACAAACAACCTCAGGGTCTACTGTGTGGTGTGCAAAACATAAGTGGAATTTATACATGTATAAAAATACAAGAGTATACAGGTGATTAGTACATCTAAAACAAGAAACATAAGGTGTAGATTCTATGGGTATACCTGCACTGTTATGCTTAAAAGGAAGACATCTACTTGCAGACATGCCAAATGAAGTCCTGATGGGAGATAAAAATATCAAAGTTAAATTCCCGAACAGCATTAAAAGCCAATTGTACTCTCAATAAATGTGATGCGTAGGACATACCAGCTGGGTAAAAAGTTTATCTGTTCTGGCTGGTGCGGTTTTGAACATGGAAATAAATAAATTGAACAAAATCCATCGAACTCACATCTCCACAAACTACCTTGTGCAATAATATAAAATCTCTACTGCCTTCTCACAGACAGCTTATGCAATGAAAATTGGTGTAGCAATGATTCATAATGGTAGAAATGCTCTTTGTCGATAGATATTTGGACATTTTCAATCACAGTAACCTGCGTAAGAGTCTAGGAATTACAGATAGCAGAGTTCAGCTCCAACCGTGATCTAACTATAATGATTACGGTTGGAACCTAGCTCCTACCGTGATCCTAGTTATGCTATCAATACCAGTAGACTTTTTAGGTTTAAGTTTGTTTATGGCTTCTAAAACTTCATCATCATTAATTGTAAATGAAGACAAAACACTAGACGGAGCTCCAAAGGCACCATATATGCTTTTCGTTTACACAAGGGAATAGCAAGAATTTGAAAAATCAGCAGAACGATTTGCAATCTGTTTTGGCAAACGCTGGAATCCTGCAATCTGTTTTGGCAAACACTGGAAACCTGGAAGGCAGATATTTTGATTATTTTCATGCAGATGTTGTTTACTGAAGTACCAGAATTCCTTAGGGTTGTTCATTATACTACATTCACCCTATTTAGGTGCATACAGTTGTCTTGTTCATAAGCTGTTTTACTAGATTGCGACACGGGGCAAGTCCTATGTAGGGTTTATCTCTTAAAGTGTGATGACCATGCATACTATTGTTAGCTATTCAAAGAAAATTTTGTTTCTACGACTCGTTGGTTTATTTACTTAGAAATACTGATTATGCATATATGAATATATCCATGTTTTTTTTCTCTTTCCAGTATGTGGTCGTCCACATCAGCACGGATCAAAAAATGTCTTTCGGCGGCAGCACCGAACCGTGTGCCATTGCGAACCTGTACAGCATCGGGTGCCTTGGAGATGCCGAAAATAAGAAGCATTCAGCTGCCCTCTTCAAGCATGTCGAGAAAACACTGGGCATCAAGGGTGACAGGTATGTAGCTCTACTGGCAGTGATGTCACCCAACCGTGAGACTACAGTTGCCTCGCACCTCTGGTTGAGGCTAGTTTGACCACCAGGTGTTCCCAATGTATAGCATTGCATAGTGTCTCCAGTACTCGGGGTAACTTAAGGTTCAGGTGTCATTAACAAGCACAAGTCTAGGGATATGGGCAGTACACTGAAACTTTCATGTCTGCACAGCAGGTGAAGGCTAACCATCCATATTAATTACGCAGAACACGGGCAAGGGTAAGGCTATGAACATGAGCCCTTTGATTTGGAAGCTTCTTCTATTGCATGAGCTTGTAAGCTGAGTTAGTACTTGATATCCATTTTTTATCCTTTGCTGTGGTCAAAGGTAGGGTAAAAAGAAGTGGGTTTTCGCTCTTCATTGTAGTATGCATGACAGTTGAATCTCGCAGCCAATAGGACAAGTAAGTTAACGAGCATCTCTTCAAATCTTTGAAGTGGATAGTAGTAGCTTGTGTCATGTTGTGGGGTTTAGTTACCAACAGAGGTACTGGTTGCAGTTACAAAAGGGTTCTACAGCGGCGGCGGCGATCTAAACCAGGAGAGACATCAAGCATAGTAGCGCGGTTTCACATCTCCGCAGCAGTGTTCGCGACGTTTAGGCTACATCGCCACGGGTTCGGTTCGATAAAACCTCCATCGTGCTGATGATCTTTATACTGTTTCTCTCAAAGACAGAAGAAAAAACGTACCATAGTAGGACAGGGTTTAAGAGCGTTCATTAGAACACTTTTAAAAGAAATCTAATATCCCCATCCAAAATGCCCCCCCCCCCCCCCCCCCCCCCCCCCCCCCAACCACCCTTCCGGCAAGGCAGGAAAGAGATCTTACCTGCCAGGCATAAGGTCCCTAATGCAGAGGTCAGAAAAGCATCCGAGAGAGGTCGTGGCGACACATACGAACCTTGTCATGGCCACTAGGCGAGTCCCCCTTCCCAAGACGAGAGGAAATGCAAAATCTCCTTGCCCAGCACTTGGTACTGCTTCTGAGAACACAGGTTCCCGAATGAAAGGGTGTAGAGCCAGGCCCCCCAATACAGGCAGCCGGCCTCTCCCCTGCGAAAGCTAAGCAGCTACAAAAAAAAAAAAAGTAGGAGACTGCCAGCTAGGCTGCAGCTGAAGGTACCTTACCACCGCCATTATGGCAGCCATTGGGGAGGGGGATTCCAAAGGGAATGTATAGCTAGTTGCAATCGGTTTTTCCTTCAATAGGCCATTTCTGAGACTGCCTGGTAACAGGCCTCTTCCAAGTTAGAACATTTGGCACCGTATACTGCAAACTCTCAATTGAGTGAACTTCAAGGCCCCCAAGGAAATAGTTCACTTAACTGAAAGTTCACTAAACTGAATAAGTTCACTAGAATCTTTCACAGCATAGGGTACAGCATACATTGAGTTAAAAGTGTGAACTACAGTTTATGGAGTCATGCACATCAATATATACAAAGTGCATAACAGTTACGTTGCTGCCTTTCTCATCTTGTAAAAAAATCTAATTTGTTTTGCACCGGTGCTCTTAAAAGGATACAATGAAATTTCGTTGGTTATTTTTTTTTGTCTCTACGTGTTCAAAGGAGCAGTATCACATCAGACACACTAATATCTTGTTCAAAAAGACACGAAAAGAAATTTTAAAGTGAATTAAACGATTAGCAAAGAGCACCTGTTGGATGTTGCTAAAGCCTCATTTGCAATGCCCATCTAGGAACCTTGACAGGTAGTGACGATAACTGTCTCGCCAAGAACTATACATGCTTTGAACCTGACATCGTCCCGACAGCTCTGCGGCCAGCATAAGAGAAGTGGGGAGGGAGGAACTCCCCACTCAACAGGACTCTCTTTTGTGTGTCCCAGATGTCGCTATTCTCCGTCTACAAGATTATAAAAGATTAACCCGTCACTCAAAATTCACACAAAAGCAGCTTTGTGGTTAGTTGCGGGTGCCTGATTGCTGGCGTGCTTCGATCGCTTCAGTGTCTGGAATGGCTTGGGCATCCTGACGACGTCAGCCTCGCTGCAGCTTTGCTCACCCTGAGCCAGACTATGTTACGATTGCGCCGGATGAGACATGCTCTTTGCTAGCTGCTCTCTGAGCGCTTGCCATAGTGGGCCATTTATAACGAAAAACACAGCCATCAGGCTCAAAATACAAACATGTGATTGTCATTTACGGATATTGTGGATCATATTCAGCCTATTTTTGAAAACGAAAAGTATGTTTCAAATTTCGTTCAAGTACACCTTTAAAGCGTATGAAGTAACAAAGCTGTCCAGAGAGCCTATGTTTTTTTGCACTTCCTCTGGTACAACTTGTTGCTGTAACGAAGCCATACCGCAACGGCATCGTTCACTGGCTTGACGTATTCCGTGCAGAGTCGTTTCCTGATGGAATTGAACGCAGTTTCTCCTTCAAGCTTCAACTTTTGCTTCACTATTGTTGACAAGGTCGGCGGTGGAATCCCATAGGCCTTCGCAACGTCCACTTGCCCTTGACCGTTGTCCAGGCGCTGAAGGATTTTGAGCTTGTCGGATAGAGACAACCGCTTCCACTTCATCATACTCATTAGTCATTACGAAAGTGGGCGCACAAACTGCTGTCCTGCTGTTGTTACCCAAAACTAAGATGGCCGAACGGAACCGATGACGAAAAAAAAACAGATACTTCACATGGTTCGTTTTCGTCTATCGCACTGCCGCTTTGCCTCGGCGGCGCTGTAAATGCCAGCGATGATACTCTGCCGCTGCAGAGGCAGTTGCGGCGGGGCGGCGGGCATTGGCTACGCCAGCACTGCAGAGCAGAATGCTTCGTTGAACTGATTGCAAAAATAATCCTGGGTCCACCGATGAAGTTCGTTGAACTGAAATATTCACTATTTTGAAATTTGTTAATTTGTGAAACATTTTTTGCATGAATGCTTAGGAAAACTGCCAGGGATTTTTTTACAGTTTGTTATTCTGAAATATTTGTTTAACTGATGTTTGCTCAAGTAGAGAACTTACTGTATCTGGAAAGCCAATCGCTTCAGCAAATGTTTTTATGAATAGTTAATTTAACGTGTCTTTTGAAGTACTAGCCTCTGGCATGTAGCAGCCATAGGCATGTAACAGCTTTTGGTAGCACTTTTGTGTGCAGGTAACTTGATAAGCCAATACTCTTTCACATGAGTAAACTACCTAGTAGTTGAAGCTCATTTTGCTCGCAACTAATATGTCAAAGTTTTGTGGAGGGCCACGAGGAAGTTGGCTTTTATCAAATTCTGAGACAAATCAGGGATAAGTATAGGCCAACAGTGGGTTTGCCTCTCACGGGTGGCATATTTGAGCGGGTTTATACTGCTTACTTCTGCAAAGGATGGGCATATCAGCGAGATTATGTTCAATGAAGCCATCACCCATGAACCTTGTTCAATAAAGTATACTGAAAGATGCTTCACTCAAGAACCTGCCCAGTACATTAATTGCAACCGTGGTGTGTTTTAAAGTTTTGTTTTACCTGCTTGTGTGACTGGAGATGGTTCTTTTTCAAATAAAGACAGCACCTAGTGACCAATGTAGTGAACGCTTATGGTGGATATGGGCTCGGAGAGTGGCGTTTGCCAAATACGCTAGAACCTGTTGGAATAGGGTTAGCTGCATTGTGAAGTGAAATATGAAAGGATTCATTTACGTGGATTGTTGCTAGTATCAAACCATGTGCGGGGTATTATCTCGCCTGTTGTTTACTTGCATCAAGTAATGTGTGAGGAATTATCTGCTGATGGGGGGGGGATCATGCATGCACAGGACACAATTATGAAAGGGTCGGCACTGACCTTCACTCTTACTTGGTCAGTACGGGCCCTTTCAAGACCACAACCTACTTTGTTCAAGACATACCATGTTGATATGATGCACATGCTTGCACTGCGCCACACTTGTTGGTGGCTGCTCTATGCTGCTAGCTCCGAGAAATGCCGCACAAGATGGGAAGGTGGCAGTCCAGTGTGGAAGAGCTTCACTTCTGCATCAAATGTGCTCAGTGTTTTGGGAAGCACTTGCGGTGGGGTACTTTTAGTACGGAGTGGTCACAACTCGTATATCATAGCTAATAAAGTCCACTGTAGTACATTGCAAACCATAAAGAATTTATATATTTTTGTTTTTCTATATTTCAGGATGTACATCAACTTTTTCGATATGCCTGCAACAGATGTAGGCTACAATGGGAAGACATTTGGTTGATTTGCAGCAGTTGCTTCTCTCCCTGCAATGATGCACATGCAGAATATTTTGTTCTTGGTGGCGGTATAATTTTGTATTAAATAAAGAGAAATAAAGAAACCATTTGGTCTTTACATCGTCGTGTCTTAATTACCTAGCATTCCTGTGTCAGGGTTGTAGAACGTCTTGGTATGGTTTATAAGCTTGCTTGTTTAATAATTACTTTTGGAAATATGATAAAAAACATATTTGCATGAAAGTGTTGACTGACTATCGAAGTATAGTAACATATCGCATGCCTTGCAGCACAAAATAAAATGTGCAACATTCACGTGGTTTGCACATGCACATTCTGTGGCCATCACTAAGCTCGGACTTATTTAACATCCTGAAACAATGTTTTTATTTACTGGGCTGAACATGAAGCAGGTATCACTTTTTGTTCATATGGAATTATGAATTTGTTTTTGCAAAAGCTGCATATTTAGAGTTTGGTCTGGTGCATACCTGGGCTCTCTTGCTGTGCTTTCCAATGGGTGGAATGTGAACAAAAAAAGTTTGAGATATGACCTTATGCAGATGGTTCATTTTTTCTACCAGCTAATATTTTGATGAGCCTTATACAAAAATCGTGTTTGTTGTCCATCCGACGGCTTGTTTTTGTCTCCCATGGAACAAGGAGCTGAAGTATCAAAATGCCGATATAGCAGAGGGCTTAGCAAAGCAAAACATGAAAAGTCCCGGCTACTGATCGCCGCATCAGAGATGGACGTGTCGCAATAAATTCACGATGTCACAATAACAATGAATGAACAATGGCAATAATGAAAGGTGTCGCAATGACGTAATCGCATGAGTGAGAGAAGGATAATCTTGTGGTACGGTCACCCACTGTCGGCTTTTGTCTCGCGGTTTCTTGAAGCTTTGGAGCAGGGATCTCAAAATAGCCCACCCCAAAATGTCGAGGGCCAACGTAGGGTGGCGAGGGGGAGGGCAAGTGGTTAATATAGGGACAAAAAAAGAAAAGAAAAACAGCAATGGTACTTTACGTTGCAAAACAGCCGAGTCTTTTAGCAACGCTTGGAGATTTTATTCTATTTGCTTTTGGTGAAATAGCCGTTTTGTCAGTGCCGTCTCTAGCTTTGATTTATTCATACAACTACTTCAGGTTTGTACCAAGTGTGATTACAAGATTTAAAATACCACCATCTAGCCAATGTGCTGGAATTTTTCAATACAACTATAGTCAGTGACAGGTTAAAAACCCAAGGGAAAGGAAGGATGGGGAAGAGGAAGAAGGTGGAATGCTGGAGAGGGGAATGTTTCCTTCTCTCCAGCATTTCATGTGCTCCTTCCTCCTCAGCCTTCCATTCCCTCGCCCTGGGTTTTTGAACCAAGCAGGTATCGAAGTTTAAAGGGGATTGGTGGCCGAGTGGGCTAGCGCACACCAGCTTGGAGCAGTAAAGTGAAAGCTCGCACTGCAGAACCCAGGGATCCTGGGCTTAATCCCCACTCCTGCCCGTTTCAATCTTTATGAGTACCGTACTGCGTGGTGCACGTTAAAGCCCCCAGGCTAGCGGTCGTACTGTACTGCTAAATTGCTCATCTACAGTGGGTAACGATGTTGTTATATGTTCTGGCAGGCTAAACTCCTGCTGTATAAAACAACTAACGACTAGTTTATTTTCGTTTTTTTATTGGAGTTCAGTGCGGGTTGCAAGCTCGTCAGCTTTTTTTGCAGGGGTTGTGGTGCGGAGGCATGCGGAGCACAAGTTTGTCTGCTTCTATTGCAGGGGTTGTGGTGACGGCAGAACGGCGAGCTCCGATTGAAGAATAGTGGGTAGGCCTGAAAGGTGGCTAGATCTACCCACTATCCCCCAATCGGAGCCAATCGGAGCGCGGCTACCGACGTTACTAAAACACTCTGTTGGGAAACTCGCCGTCGAAACCTGGACCGCTGGCGTCCACCGAGACCGAGCTAAATGCGACAACAGCGCCACTCTTTATCGTTTGTCTGCACTGTGGTCACCGTGAGCTTTTTGAAAGCCTGTTTTTGCGTAAAAACAAACGAAAAAGACACTTTTTGTATGAAATTTATTGGAGTTTAGTACCAATTGATGGGCGCGTGATGTTTTTATCATCTTTAGTTCGCAAGGTGTTGCGGAACAATTAATATTGTTTTCATACAACCATGCCTCAGCGGGCCTTTCAGGTAGCACGTCCTGACCTAGGTGCATTTTAACGTCAGTAGTTCAACGCGGCGCGTCCGCCGGGGAAACGGGGTCGGCACCCCTGTAACCTCTACCGCTGTATCTGTTCTTAAGCCAACATAGTAGTCACGTGCAGTTCTTCGAGAGGCCGCTGTGGGAGAAATGGTGGCGTTGTGTTCGTCATTAGCTCGGTGCTTGGAGACAGATTGGGGCCAATTTTTCAAAGCCGTCTCTATGGGAGTTTCCCAACTGAGTGTTTTAGTAACGTTGGCGGCTACGAACTTGCGCTCCGCAAGTCTCGAAAGAAATTCTGACAATATTTGTAGTAGAATTACAAGAAAATACTCGTGTCTTAACGGTATGTAAGACGAAATATTCCTCGATCGGAAAGAAAACAGATCAGTGACAAATATGTCAAAAACGTAATAATAAAAGCAGAGTACATTTTTAATGGAAATGAATGGACGACAAGAGGTAATTATTTATGAAGCATGCAGGCGCTCGAGGCATAGGAACATGTGCTTGCAGCTACAGGAGACTTGCGGGCCACGTCCCAGAGTCGCGGGCCGCGTGTTTGAGACCCCTGCTTTAGAGTGACTAAACTTTTGTTTATTCATAATCGTCATAATCTGACCACCATTCAGAGGTCCACCTAAAAATGGCGCCTGCTTGTCTTCGCGTACGTGTGCTCTAGAGTGGTCAATGCAGTAATACTGATAATAATAATAATAATAATAATCTTTAACGCGCATCACGCATTAGTGACTAGACTTTGCTATTATTATAGAATTAAATTAGCGAGTTTTGTTTTAGTTTTTGTTTTTTACATGCACGAATCTAATAAATCTTCTAATCGTAAGTGCCGTAAACATCAGTTAGAGCGGAACCGGAAAAGGCCGACCATATGGTCTGCGCGCATGCCCAGAAAGCGCCAAGACAGCCATAGTCGCCGTCAGTTATTGTTCGCGTGAAGAGGTGCGATTGATACCGTCTGAATGGCAGAACACCAGTCGGCCCTTTTGCTACGAAAACAGTTGAATGGTAAGCTTTAGCCGTTTCCCAAGCTTCCCGGCCACGTTTCGCCGCGATATCTGGCTTACTTCTAGCTTATCCGGTTCCAATTTCCGTGTGCCGCCTGAGCTTTAACAGCTCTTTTGTCCTCGCTTCCCAAGGCTATGCGAGCCTACCCACCGGATTCGTGTCGCTGCGGCAAATTTGCCTGGCCCCTTGGCTTATCGTTGCTCAACCACAACTTTCCGAGATAAATCGTCTCAACTTTTCAAGGTGTTTGGCCAACTTGGCTTTCGAATGGGGTGACGCTGTGCCATACCGCTTCACTTTTTATTTTATTTTTGTAACAGTACGCAGGTGTCGTAATGGTTACGCTTGCACAACCATTTTGCCTTATAAAACGTCCGAAACTACCAACTTTTCACGCACAAAAAAAAGAAAAAGGAAAACCGTATTCTTTCTTTCTGGTGGCTCAGCACGTTTTTGTCTCGAGGTAACCACGCTTTTCGTTGCGCAACATTTCCTACGAACGGACGATCGTTTTCAAGTACTCTAATGATATATTTTTTTTTTGTTCGAGCCTTGGGAAGTTTTTTGACTAATGACTCGCGTTTGTTTCCCTGTGGTGCCGACCTGTGATTCTGAATTTGTTACGGTGGCTCTGACATCATGGTATCACGCTGCATTTGCGACGTATTTGGTGCTGCGTCGTTTGCTGGCGACGGTCGAGAGGCTCTGACGGAGGCCGAGGTGGGCACGCGTCGTGACTGCCGCTGCGGGCCAAGCGCACCGCTCAAGTTGGGTGAATCGAAGGAACCGAATTGTGGGTTAGCCGGGTTTGGTAGTAAGGGACGCTACGTCTTCTGGCGCTTACGGGAAAGCAGAGCGAGCGAACGTCGATACGCGGTCTTTGGCTCGGCGCCTCGTGTCTCGCTCATTGTTCATGTATTCCCTGAGCTTCTAGATTTCGTCCAATGGTGGGTATTGTTAAAGGCAGCACCCACCTTTATTTCTTTGGATGATATCGTCTGCCTTCTTTTCTAAGCCTATTGTAAACCCCTCGGTGTGTAACTGGCTCGGCTTGTCCTTCACACCATTGCTTTTTGTTTGTCTCCTTTCAGAATTGAAGAAGAACCCCGTCGAAGGTTTCTCAGCTGGCTTAATAGATGACAATGATATCTATAAATGGGAAGTCCTCATCATCGGTCCACCAGACACTCTTTAGTAAGTTTTATTTCAACAAGAGTCCACCTTCTCACTGTGTTTGTTTCTTGTCGCTAAACATGACTGAGTACCTGCAAGAACAAGGACTAACAGCAGCTGTGCTTTATTTACCTAGTTTTTTTGTTTATTGATGGGGTGCTGCATTGCTCCACGAGTTGTTGCCCCGCATTTACTCACATGTAGAGCACAATGGCCTGATGGAGGATACACAGATAGATAAGGAAAGCACTCCTGAGTCGCGACGTCGGAGAGCCAGTGTGCTATGTCTCTATCGGATTGCAAGAGTCTACAGTGAAGGTGGCTGGATCATCATTCATTGAATGTGGGATAGTTCAATCCCAGGAGGCATTGCTCATAGTGCCCCTGCAACCCTTCTTGTGATAATCGTGATTGGTGTTGGTTGCAATGCCTCACTGAGTAAACTTGGGCGTGAGTGGCTGTTCCACAGTTTAATCCTTGCCTGTGCTCGGTGAGCTGAGACTGCAGCCAACACCTCCGAGGTAGTGAGGCTGTAATGCTGAATTCTCTGCATGACTTACTGAAGGCCAGCCGGAGGCCGAGATCTGTGCTATATCAGCGTTTCATCTGGAGTTGTGCTCCAGCAGTGAGAATCTGAGTCCCAGCCGGACACTGAAATGGATCTCTTGTCCAGTTTGTGCCTCACGTTAGACTCCGGGTGACGACGAAAATCCAGCTCTAGGGCCGTGTCATGTGAGAGTATTTGCTACAGTGTGCACTTGTTCCTCTTTTTCCAGCGAGGGTGGTTTCTTCAAGGCACATCTATACTTCCCCAAGGAATATCCTCTACGTCCTCCAAAGATGAAGTTCATCACAGAGATTTGGCATCCAAACAGTAAGCTCTCGTGTTTTAGCAGGAGCAAGGGCTGTGAACCATGATGATTTTAACCCGAAACTGGGGCAGGAGGAAATTTTTGTTGCAGTGGAAGAGAAAGTAACACTGACAGACAGTGTCTCTATAGAGACACTGTCCCTTCTTGTTACTTTCTCTTCCACTGTAAAATAAAATTCCACCTTCTGTCCCGGTCTTGGGTTAAAATCATCATGGTAAACTTCCACCAGCTCGCCTTTGCACTGACCGTAATTTCGCAAGGGGTGTGCTTTTTCGTGCGATTGGCGAGGTCGGGTCGCTTTACATTCTTATTTCTGGAACGAGGTAATTACAAAGATTGGGTTTCATCGCTTCTTAGCTAAGCTACCAAGGTATTGCAATAATGCAGTAGTGCTGATGGTAAATCTGGAAATTTCAGAACGAAGCTTTAACAGAAGGTGAAGGTCTAAATCAATCTTCTGACTTAACTAAATGCTTAAATGCACAGTACAGGAATATTCACATTCATTACATTTTGACTGCTTATGGCAAGGAATTTCTGTCATGTTAGCTGTGTGGTGCAACTGCTGATGTTTAGAAATTATGTCCATGAATCGAGTCTCCGTCATTTTGACTTTATGTGCTACAACCCACGTCCTATGCAGCAGGGAGATTGAAGCTTCAGTCAGATCTTTCGGTTTTAATATAGCCACCATGACCACTGTTTGTTCCCACAAAGCCCAATGCACGGCAGCTGTTTTTTTTTCATACTTTGGTTGCGAGCACTCTCTGTCGATAGGCCTAGCACCAAAGCGATCTTAGTTGGCCGAATGTAGCCTTCAAGCAGTTCCGAATGGCACCGACGAAGGTCCCAACAAGCTCGGCTAATATATCAAGATGGCAGTTGCTAGAGAAGCTGTCCCGTGGCTGCAGAGGCCACTCTGTCGGTGCTATTTGTGGGAGTGTACTCTCAGTATTTTTCATAAAGCAAAAAGCATGCCTAAATTTGGGGTGGATTATCTTTGAGGGTGGGCTATCTCAGGATATTACGTTTCTGGAGCAGGGATCTCCAGACTTCTTGGCTAAGGGATGGAAAATGTAAAGTAGAAAGCACTAAATATATGGTTCTCATTATTTCTGGTATCTTCGTGAGCGCGTTTGGTGCTCGTCACAATGTCGTTTCTGTATGCATGCTTTTTTTTTTTCTCCGATAGAAGGGTTTGTTAGAAACAGGCTGCAGACAGGGACTAAGTTGGACTCTCAGCGGGAAAGTCTGCGAGGTCATTGATTACCATGCTTGACCTTGACGCTGGCTAGTTGCGGTGGTTGGTGATTTCACCGACTTTCTTGCCGAATGTTCAACTGAACAACCGAAGGCCTCCGCGGATTTGATGTGCCTCACAGGCCGAAATTGGGAGACGCCTGTTCTAGACCTATTAGAATGCCACTTTTGGACACTATGAGTCAAGTGCTGCTTTAAATATACCCTTAAAGCTTTAAAGGGGCCCTGCAAGGACTTTTTTACCGGTTTTTAATTTGCACCGAACCTGAGCGTACTGGACGTAGTAACTTAATGAAACTATTCTTTTCTCGAATTTTGCTTTATTTTAAAAGTTCAAGGCAAATTAAAATTCTAAAAACAAGCAAAAAATAACCTCCCTCATGCTTAAGTGGCCGTAAACTAGAGGAGGGGTAGTGAGCTCAGCAGGCGGTCACGGCTGCCGCACTCCGTGTTGACGGCTCGAGAGGGCGCAACTAAAGCATGTTCTAGCTAGGCTGTATGAAGCAGGCAGCCAGGGCGGCTTTCTTAATTAGTGTTTAATTGCTGCGCGATTAAACACTATTTCGGCATGACACTTCATTGGCCACAAACGACAGCAAACACGGGGTAAAGATCGGTTCAGAACGGGAGTCACTTTGTGCTGCCGTACCACCAAGAGGCCAAACTGCAAGCCAAAGCTGCTTGCCGAAGGCCTTGGGAACGCTCTGAACAGGTGGGATCCTCCAGTCCATATGACCGCAGCGCTGCCGCATACATCTGGGACCTTTCTACGCTCGCCGGTCATTTGTGCCTGATCCCACTACACCTTTCTAGTATGCGCCGCCTTTTCTGCCGCTTGTTGGGGGGTATGTCGATGGGTCATTTCTTGTGTCTGTACTTTCTAAACTGCATTTGTTTCTTTTCTGATCTAAAATAGTGAACAAAAACTACTTTTATAAATAATTGAAACGGTTTGCGCCACTTATATTTTGTATTTCGACTAAAACGAAGCTTTCAGTGGCTCTGACCAGTAGTAAGCCCAGGACCAAAGACGTCGCATATTGCATGCTTTCGGCACCGCGGGTCGCCCCCGTAGGTGGAGGAGGTTTCCGCGTAGTCTGGTTAAAATATGACTCGCTGATATTTAGTTACTCTCTCTGTGCCCGCTGGCTTGCCCAAACCCCAAGAGGCGTGGAAACCGCAAAAAAGATGGACGCTTAAATATGATTGCAGGGCCCCTTTAACTATATATTGGGTAATGCACATCACATATCATGCTCCTGTAATAAATATAAATGACACTGCAGTACACCCCACAAGTCACAGCTGCTCTACATTCAGTGCCATGTAATGCTGGAGAAGCTTTGGTCTCGAGGAATTCCTATCAACCTTAAATAAAAGCTGAGGAACTACTCAAGGTCTCAGTAGTGATGACACAAGGCAGTGCAAAAGCCTCCAGACCTTGTAAACAGTAATTAATATACTGAGAAGTGTTTGACTCATAACTATGCATCAGTGAGTGACTCGGGTCTTCTAAAGCAGCACTTAAACTGGAAAGACACACTTTCCATTTGAGTAGGGACGATCAAGGGAGTTTGGGGACTTGGGGAACCGATGAGGCCGCTCTGGGAAACCCCTGGGAACGCAGTTGGAAAATGGTTCTGAAACTTTTTGATCTCGAGGAATGCCCATCTTTCGACAACAGAAATTTAAGAGCTCTGGAAACCCCTGGGGGAACCGCCCAGGCTTCCCTGAGGAAACCACACTTTGAGAACCCATGGTCTAATATATTATGATTATCAATGACTGGATGTTCAGCGGGCCCTTGTGCAACGGGTTGGCACTTTTTCCAGTTGACAAGAATGGAGACGTGTGCATATCGATTCTGCACGAGCCCGGGGACGACAAGTACGGCTACGAGAAAGCGTCAGAGCGTTGGCTTCCCGTGCACACCGTGGAGACCATCCTCATCTCAGTCATCTCCATGCTGGCTGACCCAAACGACGAGTCTCCCCAGAACGTGGATGCAGCGGTGAGGCCCAGCTGTTTATCTGTCTCGCCAAGGGTCTAATGGGAGATGTAAGAAGTGTGGAAGCCTACAGAAATGCACTGCTGCACTTTCCTTTTTCCGGGGCTTTGTGTCTTGCTGGCTCAAGCATTGCACGTAATGCGCGGTTTTGAATTGTAATCTTCCTACAAAGGGTCTGGCGTTCGAGCGCCAGACCTTTTGTGAGGAGCAGATGACGCTCTTATTCACTTCGAATGGAGGAAGACATCGGGAGGCAGTTATCCTTTGCGTCTACCCCCTAATTATTCGAATCTGAGCTCAATGCTTTGACGTCTCCACACACTTTCATGTCCTCCTCTCCCCCAGTTTCTCTCCATATGACAAAGATGTGTAGTTTTAGAAGGGGATGCAAATTTAGAACCTGGGCTAGGCCTGCTGCAAGTAATGCATACATGGTCTGCCGTGCGCTGTGCAGGAAACTGTTTTCCCTCAGCAATATGGGGACACTAGCTTTGGCCAGCCATGTGAAAAGCAGAAAACACAGTGGCCGTGAAGTCTGCTTCCTGTGAATGTGTGTTGGCATTTTTCAGACCACAGAAATTCAAATTGGGTCTGGTGATCCAGTACTTGGCCGTCGGAGATACCTACGTTTTCACATGAAAACTGCACTTCAGAAATGTCTAGTCGGAGTAAACCTAAACAAGTCGAGGAATTTATAACCTCATTTTGGTAGACGCCCTGTATATGAACATGCAAGTGCTATCTATAGACCGTTCCACTAGGAAGAGCAGAGAGAGAAAAAATGCCCTTCCCCTCACCCCGCAAGTCGTCTGCTCCGCCGAGCGGGCTGTACCTAACATCCGGCTGGCATTCGAACTCTGTTTAAAATCGCATCATTTTGGAAATTTAAAGCTCAGATGTGCGGATCTTGATATGCAAGTTATTGTGTAATGTTATGCTCGATAAAAAGACTTACCAAGTCTAATTGCGATGTTACCTGCATGCAAATTAAAAAGGAATGTAAAAACTGTCAAAGTGGCCGGTTATTCCGGCGAAAAGTAAATCCGTTTGCTGTTGCTATTTTACTGTACAAAGTTTTCACTGGTGTAGGCTAGTTCTACTAAATAAGCTACGCTTCAGAGTAACGACACTTGGCCATATTGTGTCTTAAAATCATGGTTGCCACTAATCTGAAGGTTTATCTGAATTCCCAGGGAACGCTTTTCCGCCATCCAAAAATGTTTCAACAGTTCGCGACAGAGCAAAGTAATATTGCGTGACCTTCTTAACACCGAATCTAATGCTGAGGAAGTCGCACTTGTGAATCCTGACGATCGGCAGTTGCGTCTGCTCTGCATACGAGCCAAAATGGCGGCGCCCACAACAATGTCGGGGGACGGAGTGCCGATACTCTAAGCGCAGCTCATTTAGTGGCTCTAGTGTAGGCCTTTAGCGACAATGAGTGGAAGTCTGGAATAATAAATAAAATTGTGCTTTCCTGGCGCAATAGAGAAGAGACACAGTGGTTGAAGTGTCGGCTGACTCCACTGCTATTTAAGTAATGGAACAAAGATAGGCTTGTTGATCATTTACTGAACTAAAACAACAGAGTGCTAAAGGGTGATTTCAGAGTAGCCATAAATATTCTAAGAACGTGAACCACTTCATAATGGCAATCACGAGCAAGAGTTCGATGTTCGGTACAGCCCGCTGGTACAGTCCAAAGATGGAGAGCGGCAACCTCCCGGTTTGTCGTCTGCTAGCAGAGTTGGGCGCGTGCCCTCTCTCTCGTTTCAACACGCCGAACCTGCTGAACTTTCTGGATGTGTGGAGGGGGCGCTGCGGTTTAACAAAATGGCGCCTCCCTGAGAGCTCTGAATGGAATGGTCTATACTCTGTTTCATATTTAGCGTGCAACAATGTCAGAGCTACTGGCGCGAGCGTGGGGCTTTATCTCGATCATTTGCATGCGTTCTTGCGCAAACAAAACCCTAGATGAAGCCACGCCTCTCCACCAGTAGGTTTGACAGCGTTGTATATTAAGTATGAAACAGAGTATAGACAACCATGTTTTGGTATTAATAACAGTGTTAGCAGTTTTTAAGTGTAGTTTGCTTTTGTGATATGTATGCTGCCATCGTACCTCAGTGCATTAGATGCACAGTTCCGGCGTACAGGCTCCCAGCGGGCAGTTTTAAGCCCCGATTGAACGGCCCTCAGTCTTGCAGAGGCTTGTTTGTAGGTGTTGTGTGTCTGCTTTTACTTGGAGAAAAGAGGTTCTTCGGGGCATTGTCCCCTCTGAAGATTTGAGGCCCTAGTCTGATGTTTCAGTTTCGCTATAGCCGCCATGGTCGCCATTCATTCCTACGGTGGCCATAGTATGAATTCTTTTCTTTTCACAATCTGTGCATGCTAAGGCTTTTGCTGATAGGACTAGTTGTGTTTATTTCGGTCGGCCGAACATTGCCCTCAAGCGGCTTCGGATGGCACGAAGGAAGGCCGCGGCAAATGCGTCAAGCTGACAGTGGTGAAAAGAGTGGATGTCGCCTTAGGATTCTCCAAATCTGTTGCTCCATCTGCCGAGTGTCCGTGCACTACAGTGTCGTGCACATAGCACACAGTACCGAACGGATTGTTTGTGAACTAGCAGTTGAACTGCCAGTTGTCTGCTTCATAATGGCAATTGGTTTCCCTGCTGCTGGCCCTGCCGCTCTAGTTTTGCAGTTGCATTCCTTGCTCCTCTACCTTCATCGTGCTCAGCCCACTGTTGTCACTCTGTCACTATGGCAGTACAGAGCCCGCGAGCTAGGGCTTTCCTAGTATATGTAGTCTGCTTTGTTTCTGCCGAGTGCACACTGAGGAAAGCCCGCTCCAAGTGCAATTGCTGATTGCATACTGCCTCAAAGGAAAATCGTGCCTTAAACCAGGGTGGGCTATCTTTCAGAGGAGGGTACCTGTTGAAATGAAATAGGATAGTTTTAATGTAAAATTTATTGACAATCCTCGAGAAAGTGGGAAACCTTTATAGAAGTAGTTATTAAACGAGTCAATTGGAAGACAAAACTGAGCGCTGAAGCCCCTCCTTCCCGGCACATTCGGTGGGAAGGGAAAATCGTGACGTATTATACAGAGATCTCAACATTTCTGCGATTCTTACCCGAGCAGTCAAAAACGCTACACGTGTGCACGCACAAGGCAGTTGAAACCTCTGGGTATGACGTCGCACGCAACGGTTGGTTTTTCTAGTGTTCATTGGTGTCGTATGCTTGTCGTATTCAAATCCATGGGACAAAAATAGGCTAAAATTTACCTCTTGCTCATTTTCTCTTCTGCAGCTTTTTTTAAGCATGCAGCTTCAGAGTCAAAATTATATAGGATTGCATTGTTTACTCTACCGGTGTCATTTGTCCAGACAAAACTGCACCAGTGCATGGTAAGGAATACAGTTAAAAGGCGATGCAACAATTTTTGAGTTTTGGCCACATCATTATGGGAATCGTTCAATGTCTCCGATAGAATAAAGACCAGAAAACCATTTTTTCTTGCCAATGCTAGATTTTATATTTAAAAAAATTGAAGGTCGGGATATTTTTGGCAATGCGGTCTCTTGAGTGCGGTGTGTAGGGACAAAACTTGAAGTATCACACTTGTTTCTGCCTTTTGGGCCCCAGCCTGCCTCTGTGATTGCCAACTTGTCAAGGACGGATTCATCTACAATAGAGAACTGCACTCACTTGAGATTGTAGAAGGCTGCGGCATGCGAATGACACAAAAGACAATTCGCCACATGAAAAATGGAAAGGGTAGCAACAGAGAAGTGGTTTTGTTGACTTCCGATAGGTTGCGCTTTGGAAACTTGCGACGCAGCTGCAGATCGGCAGAACTTTTTATTATTTTTTTTTATTTTTTCAATTACACAGCGAAATTGCTGCATTTTGGGGAAAGGTGGTGCATCTCCTCTCACTTGTGCAGAGATAAACAATACAAAAAATAAGTTGCAAATGCTTTGACCATTAATCCTGTTGCACTACCCCTTCGGGGGGGGCTAGCTGGTTTGCCCAAGGCAATGCTACCTAGAAAACGAGGCCTTTTCTCCCTCGAATGTTGTCACTACCACGTCCACTCAGCTCTGCCAAGGTCGTCTCTGCATTGACACGAGCATATCTTGCAGCGCCTCGCATTGAGCACAGTGGTAGGGTTCAGTGACGCAAGATTTGTATGTCTGCCTTTTTGGTGGGTTTTCGAAATAATGTTCAATGTATTTGCCGCTGAGGACAGGTCGGGAATCCACCGCTGGCAACTTAATGCGCAGGTTGTGTCGCAGTGGGAAGTATTCTGGAACTTCCCAAGTCCTGTGTGTAAGACAACAAGGTCAAATCAAACAATATGTTGCTCGAAGCGGTAACTAAAAGTCTTGTGAACTTAGAACCAGTCCACCCTAACAATGTGGTAGTGAGCGAGGCCCAATTAAGAAAGAAAAATTAAGTTCTAGTGCAAATTCCTTGCATCTTGGTGAAATGTAGCAGGGTAAGCAATTTGGTGCGATTGGCACAGATATTGCATCACTGTAGCTGTACTTTATTTTTACTTTATAAACTACAAGCTTTGTTGTAATCACGGGTAATAAGAATATGGTCTTATGTTTATTTGTTGTTCAAAGGCATGCATGGTGTAAGTCAAGTCTGTGCTTGTGCTTTCCCTTTTCTTCTGCAGAAAGAGTGGCGAGAAAACTACTCGGAATTCAAGCGGAAAGTTGCTCGGTGCGTTAGGAAAAGTCAAGAGGAGGTCTAGGATAAATTTTGGTGTAGTATAATTTTGGGTAAGTTTCCTAATCTTTCTCAACTCTGGCACAAACTGGCACGGTTTAGTTCCTGAAAATTTTTAGCAGCTTTTGGGCTGTTATATTTTGCTTTTTACCCTTTGTAACAACTACTGGATGTTTTCGTAGCATATTCTTCTTCCATATCTACTAGCAGCAAGTGTAAAGCTCATGGTGTTGAAACTTGACTGGATTTGTTTGCATTAGAGCACTGCACGGGCCTACTTCTTGAGGCCTGGCCCTGCCGGGGCCCTCTGGCATGCAGTCTCACCCGACTCGGGCCCGACCTGGCAGGACTCCCCTCTAATTAGGCCCGGCTGCTGGCACCTGCATTCGGACGTGCCCCAGTCCCAGACATGCCTCTTTGTCCAAACACAGGCAGAATGGGCTCGGAAAAGCCCGCGTTGGTGCCCTCGGCCTGCTCATTAAAATGTCTATTACACAACGAGTTCACGGCTTTTCAAGCTGCGCCTGCGCTTGTGCTGTGAATCGAAGCAGCTCAGAAGGCCATGAGCTTGTGTTTGTGGCTCTGGTCAGTTAGAAGTACATTATTACCTTACGTAAAACATTTCGCATAATGAGAAGCCAAAAAGTTTGATATTGGGACAACACCCAGCATAGAGGTATTATGCAGCTTGTTTCAAGAAGTGAAACAAAAGAAATCTAGGTATTGCTGTTTATTTCCAAGGTACACACACATACAATGGGAAAGGAAAAAGAAACAGGTTACAAGAGATTAACATAATGTTGGGAGAGATTACAAGAATGTTCAATTATTACATATTTTTGTGCACAAGTAAGAGACCTAGTGAGACTTGCTTTAGGCAGGTTCACCACTCATTCATGACGTACCCAGCTGCACTGAAGTTTCTCTCACTGCTGGCTCTTGTGGCTGGGATGCAGAGTACCTTCTTTGCAAGGGCTGCAAGTTGCAGGAAAGTGATCTGGTGAGTCTGCCACCATAGCATCAAGTCCTTCATTCCACCTTCGCCACCATATTCGGCACATAAGTACTTGTCAACTTCATCACTTTGTTCTGGCACTACTTCCACATTGCACCATTCTTGGAACTCATCCACACATCTATGCTTCGTGGGAGCTAAAGTGTTGCCTCATATATCCACATAGTCTCTCATCGATGCCAGTCGCAGTCCCTCACTTGCCAGCCTCTCTTTCTCGTTGCCTCAGACCGATTTTCTTTCGTTTCCAGGGAGCATGTGGAGTTGATACTGTGGACACAGTATCAACTTCGAGCTGTAGTTTGCTTTCCAGGAAGTGCTTCGCCCTCTCTTCGAGTTTCACAGTAACGGATGAGTTGCAAGGCTCCACTTGAAGATGCTGGCTTAGTTTGGCAAAACAGAACAACACAAATGGCAAAGTGAGGTGTTTATCTTGCTTCAACTTGTCGCTCGGCTCCTTAAATGGCTCCAAGAAGTAAGACTTGTTCACATCATCAAGCAAGCAGTTGTTTCTGGTGTCCAAAATATGTTTGATATCTTCATACTGGACAAACACCGACCTGATCATTGCCAGTTTGGAGTTCCAACTGGTGGAGTTCCAACTTGTACTTCTTGGTACACAGCATGTGGCACCTCGCTAGCAAGTCCACTTTGCTTCAGAAAAGTCTCAACAGACTTCGCACCTTTGATGTTTTCGTGCATGGCGCGCAGCTCTTCTGCAGCAAACGACTCATCAAATCTGTGCCAGAGTACGGTGTTCAAGATTTGAGCGTACAACTCATCCTTGTGTATGGACGGAGTGCACTTATAATATTTGCACCTTGGTCGGTCACGAACACCACATTTGCTAGGAGGTCTTCACTGAAACTAAGCTTTGAAAACCTGCAAACAATTCCTTTGCCTATGTTTTCGCCAGTCTTCCTTTCCTGTTGGAAAATCGCGAGTGAAGAGATCTTGGCACTGCAGAACCCAGTTTTCATCAATAAAGTGAACCGTTTTGGTAGTATACGTGATCTTTTTGAAGTCGTCTGGCTACATGTCACGTGTAACAGTGCAACGAGTTTCCTTCATTGCTGCTTCACTGATAGGTCTCATGGCATCTGTCATAGCATTTGCTACGTTGGCTACTTTTCGGTACACAGTTGTGGGATGTGGAAGCACGTCATTCACGGAGATGTTTCCGTAGTGGGCGCCAATGCTAATTAGTTTGTCTGCGGGCTGAACAAAGCAGTCTCCGTGAACTACATCAAATGGCCGCATATCTTTGGCGCATAAGCCAATGCAAGCCGTTGTCAACTTTTTGACAATCTCAGGAATGCTGGACTTCTTCGTTGCAAAAAAAGAAGTAACACGCGCACACTCGGAATTGGACAACTTACATTTGTGCCGGCTCAAATGCAGGGTCCCAGTCTTGGTGCCGTCGTAGGTCAAAAAGGCTTTGCAATGGCTACATTGAATATGTCCTAGTGATGCTGACGTGGTTGCATCGACAACTTTCACAAATTTCTTCCACGCATCACTTTGTTTGGAGTCTTTTGCGACAAGCTTGAGCTGCTTCGTTGAAAGTCCTTTCTTCCACTTGGCGACACTCATTCTAAAATTCATGAAAAAGAAACTGAAGACCGCATATAAAATTTGATTGTCTATTTGCGGCAAAAGACACCTTGACGTAGCTGAAGATTATCTTAGACTGCACCAAGCAATTTGTGTGAAAAGAAAGAACAAACAGGAAAGCAGGGTCAGTTGTGTAAACTTCTTTAACCAATCAGCCGGCCTCGCTCACGCGTACATGTAGAGAGGACTGTCACTCGACATAGGGTGGGGAAGTCGGCTTGTTCTCGTTTCAGAACGCCGAACAATATGTGCCCCCCGTTCCGGTACGCGGTATTGTGTACTTGGCGAGTTTTCCATGGGGTCTAGTTGTTTTTGGAGCACCAATATTACAGTCAGGAATACAACAAAGATGGTTCTTGGTTTTCTTTTTTTGGCGTTGGGAAAGAAAGAAATGGCACAAAGACAGTACACCAGAACCCCTGACAACTTTAAGAAAAACAAAATCTCTGGCCGGGTCTCAGACTTCTTGGAAGTGAAACGATTGTCCGAGAGGAGCCCATAGGCCCCACCCCACACCACGAGGTCCCCATCAACGCGCTTTGCCATTGTGCTCACAGCTCTGGAACAGTTATCTTCGAAAGCCACGTGCACCTACAAATCGGTCAACAGTTGACGGACCCGTACGCGACCTGTTTTTGGAGACCGCAACGCACGAAAAGCCCACATCGAGGGCGCCCAAACGATACGACTTTAGCGAAGGCCTTGTGTTTACCAACCCACCCGTAGAAAACTATTGCGTGGACAAAGAGAGTAAAAGGTAAACATGTTCAAGGGGTGCGTTTCCCCGAACCTTTGAACCACAGTCGGGTTTGAGGTTCGGAGAAACGTCCAATTGCGAAAAAACCGAAAGATCCCCTTTTAGGGTGTCGGTCAGTTCAGTTGGTGTTCTGTATGTATATTGCCCTTTTTAGCAATTGAGTGAAGTTCTATGCTTTCTGTGTGGACGGCCTTGATGCGTCCCTGGTGTGGCCCAGGCCCGACTAAAGCGTACGCTGCCCAGCCCGGGCCTGTGCAGTGCTCTACCGTAAAATACCGAGCAAGTGCCCACTCGAAATTTTAATACTATCGCGAAAAAATTGGCGTTGGGCGCTAGTGAAGTCATCAATTTTACATATAAATGTACTGTGCGTATTTTTTCAGATGTTTCTAGTTTTAGGGGTGGGCGCTTAGTGCGGAACGGGTGCATGCACGGTATTCTACGGTAGTTTGCATACATCCAACCAATTCTTGCGTAACTTACATTTTATTACACTTTGGGTTTCGTTTCCACTTGTCCAACAATAGTAAATGAGTGTTGTATTAATGGCCTGAAGTCTTTGTAGCCTTTTTGGTGAGCCACTGCTTTTTTTTCATGCAAGACTCGTCCCTGATGCTTTTCTTCAAACTGACCCAATCTTTTTGTTAAGTGAAAACTGGGTGTAAAGAGTGAAAATTAAGTTTTTGCATTAATTTAACTAAAGAAAGTTATTGTTGCAGTCGAACCACAATTACAAGCAGTGTGCAAGAACATTTTACTTCTATTAATAGAGTTCATATACAAATAGGTTAAAATGTCAAAGTAGAACTCTCATAATTAAAACTGTCTGGGTTAGTGGGTCTGAAAACGTTTACTTGCTCTTGTTTAATAGCAGTTCTGATGAAGTTGTCTGTGGTTTCCTGCAGTGCCACGTAGAGCCATTCCAGTGTGGGATGAAAAAAGTTTCCTAGACTTTAGTCGAAAGCCCTTGTGAATTTTTAGCTTTGCCAACAGACACATCTGCTGTGGGTTGATTTCTGCTCATTCGTTGCAGCAGGAATGGTGAGCGCTTCTCGTCCACACAACGCGCTCTTGCTCGACTTTTCGGAGCCACTTGAAGGAAGCGGAGCCCACATGTAGTAACTCCAGGGACATTGTGCAGTGGGTCCGGCCGAGACTGCGTTCTCCCTGTGGGCAGCCTTCCTCCACAAGGCAGCCGCAGCTTCAACGGCTTCCAATTAAAAATGGACGGGAACGAAATTTGATACCACTTCAATTTGCTCCAGCTTACCACAGATCCCTCCTCCCTCTGGCCCCTCGTGCTTTCCAGAAGCTGCTAACACTGTTCCCCAAAGTAAAAGTGCGCGAGTGTGGAGCGTGCATGGTCCCTTTTGATTTGAGTATCTTTTAAGTGTGTGCATGCATGTGCTTTGGTTGCCTTTTTTTCTTTCTCAATTGGTTTCTTTCTTTGACCCATATTTTGGTTCGTTTTTTTTTTCACACTTCACGTCTGCTATTCTTGGAGTGTGACGAGTTGAGACTGGGGCCCTCTTTAAACTGGCAGGTGTTGAAGATGCTTAAGGCAGCAACTTGCGCTTCTAAGCAATTTAACTTTGGCACTGCTACATGGCCAGGCTGGCGTGGGGCGAGCTAGTTGTGTCATTTATACAATTTCTGTATAGCCATCAAACACTCATTGCTGTACATTTTTTCAGATGCTTAGCTGGGTTTGTGACTGGGTCTGGGAAAGAATGGAAATGTTTTTCTTTCTTTTTTTGCTAGTGGGAGGGTAGGCCAACTGGTATTCTTTAAATTGATCGCCAGGCTTTGGGCAACATGTTCTGGGAAACTGGGTTGCCTTGTTGTTGGTGGGTGTACCCTGAGACAGCGAAACAACCGACATTTGCTTTGCGGCATGTGCAAAAAGAGATATTTATTTGAGCGAATGAATAATCTTTGTGCCTACAATCTGGTTGGACTTTGATCAATGCTATGTTTGTGCTCGGCAGTGCATTTTGCAGTTATCGGGATAAGCTGAACCTCTCGTTATTGTAATTTGTACTCTCACTTTAAAATGGAAGTCGGAAAAATCTGTTGCAAAGTCGCTTCTGGACCTTTCCAGCATACTTTACCTGAAGGTGTTTGCCTAAAGAGCCACGATGTTATTGCAGCTGCAGACATTGGGTGACCAAGCTGTTCTTCTTTTTACATGGCAGAGGGGAAGAAACGGCTTGAAAGTATTTGCTGATCCATTATGGCAGTCTTTTCAACAGATTTAATTGCAGGAGATCAAGCGTTTAACTTTTTTTTCTGTTTCTTTGCTTTTCTTTTTTCTTAGCAGTACTACATATATATCTTGTCCAGGAACGTGGTCATGTTGACAGTACATTACTGAGTGATTTTTTTTTAGAATGATTTGTGTTTATTCTATTTGGGTTTATGCATGCATTTTACGTGAAAAATTGCGTTTTAAACTTCCTGTAAATTGCTTTCCGAGCTTTGTACAGTTGACTAAATATATTTTCATGTCTTTGATGACTGTGTTGTGTTTACTGCAGTTGGGTAATCGGTCACAAAAGTTCAGGGCACGGGCGGACCTGTTGACAAAAAAGCTCAGTAGCATTGCCCTCCTACATCGTGGTAAAATCTAAGATGACCTTTTATTATGTGTTTTGATATCCTGAAGGCATAAGATATTTATGAACTCGACTTTCATCAGCAGACTCTGGTGCCTTTCTTTGCCCTTAAACTACGGGTATTTTCAGTTAACTTCCTTTATTCTTTATTGAAAGATCACCCCGCAGTGCCCGCAGGGGAATTAAATTCTTGGGGAATGTATTAGCATGGCATTTGGGGAAACGTCACTCATGCCCCTCTAGAAATCGCTGACGCTGGCCCCTTTACTTTCCTGTATTGACTTACGGTAAAAAAAAAAGTTTAAAAACTGCTGGTTGAAGATCTTGTGGCCTGCAAAACTTGATTGCCGGGGAGGGACGGTAAACCAAAGAAGACTCCTTTCCAGTCGGCAATGGTTGCTTAACTCCCGTCGCGGCTAAGTAACTGCATTTATACCAAGGTCACCATTGGGCAGGGCCCATCAATTACTGGAAGTGGGTTATCTTTCGGTGTTTTTGAAGAAACAAGAAGGAAATTGAATCAAGAATAGGGGTGGGTTACTTTTAGAGGGGCATCTCGGGATATTGCGGTACACAAATGTATCGCAGCCTACGCGCCAGCTGTGCGCGTGACTAACGAAAACCAGGCGGTGTCTGTCAGTTTGTCAGCGCCGCAGAGGGAGAGGTTGACGGCTCCGTAGTTTGAGGACAACCGCTTAATCGTTCGCTGAATATATATATATATATATATATATAAATGAAAGACATTTACAACTTCCTGCAACACCGATTTAGAGCGCAGCTCAGGAGGAGGGCGGGAGGGTATGCCCCTCCTCATCCGTACCCTCTCCTTCCCCCCCCCCCCCTCTAATGCGCGTCATCACGCAACGTTTCGGCGCGGTGTATTATGGGACGTTTCCCATAATGCACCGCGCGGTTACACCGACGCCGCTCAAGCCGGAAGCGGGCTGCGCTCGACACCGTTGTTTTCTCGAGCGTGCTGGCTCAAGCGAGCCGTTCCGTCGCCTCCTTCGCGCTCTTAGCTCCTTGGCTCCTCTCCCCATGGACGTGAAAGAGAACATAAACATAGAAGAGGTATGCCCGTTCTCGCGTTCCGCGTTATAACAGCTATTAAAAAAAGGAGTGCACTAGGGAAAGACGGGCAAGAGAAAAGTGAAAATGAGAACTGATCTTTAATCTTTCCTCTTAAAGTAATTGTGTGTTTGTTTGGACAGTGGGAAGTGAACCAGCCTCAATGGGTCGCTGTAGATGCGAGCAAGTGCAGTTGTAGCATCGTGACGCCGCTCGTTGTCTTTGTGCTTTGACCAGCTGCACCAATCGCGCGCAGTGAACGCGCCGTTGTTGTTGTTGTTGAAAAACTTTATTGAGTTGAAAGATTTAGGAAAGGGAAGGGGAGAAAGGGGAAGAAAAAGGAGAGAGTGGTTGTGTGCCCCTATTCCGGGGCTCCAAGTGCGGAGTGAACTCGGAGTGCTCGGGCCACGAGCAGCCTCTGCTCGCTAGCCGTCGCGTACTTGAGTCCCGCTTCCCACTCCTTGAGTTTGGGCTCCTCGACTGGAGCCAGTCCTGGGAGGTTCTTGCATGCCCAGACAACGTGATAAACGCCCACCCAGGGCTCACCACAGAAGGGACAGTCCGCCGTGGCGTACCGTTCTGGGTACCACAGATGTAGCTGGATCGGTGTGACGAACGTGTCCGTCTGAAGTCGTCTCCACGTGAACTCTTCTTCCTTGCTGAGACCTTTGGCCGGCCCAGGATATTCTGCCCTATGTGTTCGTAGAGCCTTTAAGGCCTCACCGTAAGTGAGCGCACTGTCCAGATCCCTCTGGGGCAGAACCGAGTCCCGGTATAACGCACCTCGGGCCGCAGCATTCGCCGCCTCGTTTCCGACTTGCCCCATATGGCCGGGGGTCCAGATCAGATGTACTCCCTCTACTGCGGTTTTGCGGAGGAGCCTTAGAGCTGGTTGACCCACGACCCCTCGCGCAAAGTTTTGACAAGCTCTTTGTGAATCCGAAATTATCGTCGCTCGAGGATTGCAAACCACCGCCAATGCTATGGCCGCCTCCTCCACTTGTTCAACCGTCTGCGCTCGTATGGAGGCGACGCGTCTGATCTGCCCTTGCGCACTGGCCACCGCTATTGCAGCCACCCCCCCGCACCGGACCGGCCCCATCCACGTACAGGGTTCCCTCTCTGCTGTCCCAGGAACGCGCTAGGGCCACCGCTCGCGCTTGTCTCTGTTCCGCATTCCTATCCGGGTGCATGTTGCGGGGGATTCTACTGATCGTGAATCTCTGCCGGGTCTCAGCCGGCAGCTCTTCCCCCGCGTCTCCGGGCCCGTGAGAACCGCCGGGTACTGCCATTCCCAGTTTGTCCAGAAGCCACGCTCCATTCACTGTGGAAGAGAGTCGCTTCAGCTGTGACACTAGTTGAGCTTCATGAAGTTCTTCTATGGTGTTATGCACCCCAAGTTTAAGCAGTTTCTCGGTCGCCGTACGCTCCGGTAGCCCCAGCGCGTTTTTGTACGCTCTCCTTATCAGTACGTTTAGCTTTTGCATCTCCGCCTTGTTCAAGAGTGCCGCACGTCAGTCTGGCAATAATGAAGGCCTGGACCAACTGTATTGCCTCTTTCTCCTTTATACCGTGTCTACGGTTCCTAATTCGCCTCATCATACCGCACACCTGCGTGGTCATGGCGTCCAGTCTGTCGATTGTCGACTTGTTCCCCCTCCCCTGTTGTAGAAGCTGGCCCAGAATCCGAACCTCCGCTGGTTTTGGGACCCGGACCCCATCTATCACCACGTCAATGTGATCGACTAGCTTATCGCGAGGGTTTCGGAAGACAAGAAGCTCAGATTTCTCCGGGGCGCACTTAAGCCCGCATCTCATAACGTACTCTCCGACGATATCCGCCGCCGCCTGAAGCTTCTTCTTCTATTTCCGCGTCACTGCCCTCCCTGCACCACAGGGTGATGTCATCCGCGTAGATGGCATGCTCCACGTTCGGAACCGCCCTCAGCGCTTCTGGTAGACCCCGCAGCGCAAGGGTGAACAGCAACGGGGAAAGTACTGCCCTTGCGGCGTACCCCTGGAACCCAGTCTGTATGTCCCAGATTGCATACTTCCCAACGTCAACGTGGCTGTCCTGTCCGTCAAGAAACTGCGGACATATTCGAAGGTTCTTCTCCCGCAGTTAACTGTGCTGAGACCCCTAAGTATGCTTTCGTGCGAAACATTATCAAACTCGCCTTTCAAGTCTAAAGCTAGAAGGCATCTCGTTTGGCCGCTCCTCGGATTCTCCAGTATATCCTTATATATCCACAAGAGTATGTCCTGCGTCGATGTGTGAAATCTGAACCCGAACTGCGTGTTCGGAAGGAGTTGTTCCTTGTCTAGATATTTCATAACCCTGGAGTTTATGACTCGTTCGAACGCCTTGCCCAGGCAAGATGTAAGCGAAATCGGCCGCAGATTTTCTAGCTTGAGCTCCTTTTTGGGTTTTGGAATGAAGCGAATGTCAGCAACCTTCCAACTATCTGGAGTAAGCCCGCGCTCCCAGAAATGTTCGTTGAAATGGCGTACCAGCTCTTTCAGGTCCCCTTCCCCTAAGTTGTAGAGGAGTTTCGCTGTGAGGGAGTCCGGTCCGGCTGCTGCGCCCTTCCTCATAACCCCGAGCTCATACTCCAATTCCGCGACAGTAATTGGCCTGTCTAATTCAGGGTTTTCCTGCCCTTCATACTCCACGATTTCTCCTGTGGATTCCAAACACAAATACCTTTCCGCCAGCCGATCCATGATCTGCTTGCGGTCCCCGGGTAACTTATGTATCAGTTCCGCTAAACGGCCGCCCGTCACCGCTTTTGCCCTACTCGGATCGATTAAGGCCCTAAGCATCCTCCATGCCTGAGCAGTGCCTAGGCTTCCCCGTATAGAGTCACACAGGCCATACCAGTTCTTCCTAGCCAAGTCCACCGCATAGTCCTCGGCCAGCTTTGTGAGTGCTTGAATCCTCTTCCTCAGCTTCTTGTTGTAGCGCTGTTTCTTCCATCTCCTGGTCAGCCCGCGTCGTGCTTCCCAAAGATGAAGCAGACGCGTGTCCACTGCTGGGGTCTTCTCTGAGAGTTCAACTTCAGCCACGAACGGCTTGACACTGGCGATCACCTCCGAAGACCAATCCTCGATGTTCTCGATGCTAGCTGCACCTTTCCCTCTCTGTTTTCGCCATCGGTCCCAATCCGTTATTCTTGCCTTTCCCGTCTTTCTTGTGTATCCGGACTCGTGAATAGTCGTTTCGAGGATACAATGATCGCTACCGAGTTGCTCCATGAGGTTAGTCCACTCAGCGTTCGCCACATTCTTGACAAGCGTCAGGTCCGGACAGGTGTCTCTGCATGAGCTCGTGCCCGTCCTGGTTGGCTGATCAACCTCGGTAAGCAATGTTAGGCGTTCCTGGTTGATGCTTTCCGCCAGCCTTCTGCCTTTCGGAGAAACGTACTTGCAACCCCATCCCGGGTGAGGGGCGTTGAAGTCTCCCGCAATAATCACAGGGTCCTTCCCCGCCTCCTTGACCACCTTCGCGATGAGCCGCCTGTAGTCCGTCTTATGGTTCTTTGGATTTCCATACACGTTCACCACATGTACACCCCGATCCCCTTTTTTCACTGGGATGATCACAATGTGACAGCACGACACCTCACAGCCATCCAAGTCTAGTCTCGTGGCTGCGTAGGTCTTGTGCACAAGCGTCGCGACGTATTGGTCGCCCTCAATTGTAGCATAGTCTTTGATCTTCACTGGTTTCTTGCCCGGCTCCTGCAGCAGTATCACCGCCGGGGGATTGGGTTCAAGCGACACCCTCAGGCTAAGGCTCGCCTGTTTCCGACCCATCCCCCTGCAGTT